TCATTTCTGTTCATGCTGTCATTACATTAGAAGTAAAAATGTCTGAACAGAATAGTGATCTAGTAGGTCTTTCATATGGATTTTGTGCTGTGTGTTTCCTGCACACTACATTTTATTACACAGCACTCATCCTGTATAAAATTGTGCAGCTCAGTATGCTCACAATTCTAGTTCCCTGCCTCTGTGTATAGTTGACCGACATAAGTATTGATCAGGGAAAGAACAGGGAGCAAAATCTATAGCAGGGAAGGGACCAGAGAAAGAAAATAATCAACATGAAATTATGTTGGCCAGAGGCTCTATCAACAGCAAAGAAACATAGAGCAAACTTTAGTGGTGGTATAAAACAACAGACTTGTTGCAGAAGGTTATACATTTTTGAACATTATTATAAATGGTTTGTGAGTCTTGTAGTTCTTTACATTATCTTTATTTGTGGTCAGTGGTCATCCATCCCCATCAGCGTAGTGTTTACATTTTTTTGCAGTGAGAGTGGCTTTCATTTCAATCCAGAGCTGATTTCTTGTTCATTAGGTTTAGTATTGCAAATCTGTCTTTAAAATCTACAGGAATATTATTCAGATTGTATTTTGGTATACTGATTGATATAGTGTACTTCTTTAACTTTGTCCTAATTTTCCATGTAAGTTGTGTCTGTGCCACAGAAAGTTCATGGTCTTATTTTTATAAGGAGAGCAATGCTCTCCTAAGTTCTGTTCCCAGTTATAGTATCCATTTGATTTCTGTATTGGCTGTCTAGCAATGTCCATGTTTACAGTTATCTCTTTGGTTGGTTGCCTGAAGAATGTGTTAGTAGTGAACTCACTGCTTGCAAAATGTTACTCTTCTCCTTCATTTCTTGGTCCTAGGCTAAATTCTACTTTGACAATGTCTGGTTCTGCTCTGTTTCCTACTTTGCATTTTGGTTACCTGTGATTACCAGCATGTCCGTTTTTTGTGTGCAATCAATTTCTTTCTAGATGCTCATGTAGCAAGTTTTTTTTTCTTTCTTCTGGCAGAAGCATAATGCTTGATTACAGTTACACTGATAGGTTTTCTTGGTAGTCTTATTGACATTCAGTCAGAATTCATATTGTATTTTCTGATTGCTTTTGCTACATCTCACGTCGCTACAATGCCATCCCATTCCTCCCTCAGAGTAATCTGATTAAAAATGTTATGTTCCTATCTACTTTACCTCTCTCACACCAATACAGTTGTGCTCATGCCTTCCATTTTTTGTTGTATGATTTCTAGCTTTCCCTGATTCATACGTCTCACATTCCATGTTCTGTTTACATACATTGTGCAACTTGGGTTTTTCTGTCATCTCTGCATGTGTCAGCAGCTGAACATCCTTTTGACTTGATTTCAGTTGCGTCCTTGGGCTTACCACTCTCAGAACTGTTCACTTCTCTTCCTCAATAGCTGGTCGAGTGCCCTTTGTCTTGGGAGTTTCCAGCACTATCTCTTCCTCCATTTTAGATTGTCTTTATCATAGGGTTTTCAAGGTAAAAGGCATTTAAGAGTGGTTGATCATTGTCTTCTACTGCAGAGTACTAACTCCCTCAGTTAGCCAAAGTTCCACTGTTGCCTTTTGGGAGATACTTCCAGCGTAATCTCAGTACTGCTGTTGCCCAGTTGTTTGGCACATATAGTCTGACACCTTGGCAAAGGCCTATCTGACTTGGGACACCCTATCAGCAGCAATACTATGAACAGCATAACCACATGCTTCACTGGAGTCTACTTATGCCTTTGGCTCTCAGGTGTTTACTCTATAATTTGGGCTGTTTCCGCCTGTGGCAGTTTTGGCATGCATTTCCCAGCAGAACATATGGTTTAAGGGTTGGGTGGTTCTAGGGAACTAGAATTGTTCTAGGGAACTAGAATTGTGGCTACAAGCAAAGTTTGTTTCCTCACCCATCTTCAGGGCCTGCCTTAAGAAGTCATGCACAGTCTCAGAGGAGGCTCTCCCTCCCTTAAAAAATCCTTAATAAACTTTTGCCTTGGGTGAGTCACACTCTCTTGGCCTCGCATCATACTTACTAGACCACAGAAGATGTTGCAGACAAGTCCTCCTTTTAAAACAAATTCATAATAAGTTGTGTGAATGTCTCACACATTGGAAGTATCAGAAGGAAGGCCCAGGCAACCTTACAAATTATTTCTGTTGCCATCTCTCCCACCTCCTTTAAATACATTGATTGCATTGATTGAAATACCTGTATTGTTTCCTAATTTCCAGCAATTCTGTACTTTGGAAGTAAGCAGATTAATACAGCAGTACTATGCTTAGGAAGTAAACTGTATTGAATCAAATGGAACTTGTTTAAGAGTTAGTATTCATTGATTTGCTGAATACAGTGAAAAAAATTAACACTTTCCTGAACATTATAATGCAGATTTCTAATGGTAATTATGCTCTTAAAAGGGGCCATTACATTTTTAAAATACTTGCCCCACTATTCTACAAACACAAGTGGGGAATTGTCTGCCCTTCGGTTATAGATGAATAAGAACCCCCTTCATTCATCAACATTAGCCCAGGTAGGCCTGAACTAATGAAAACTCGGCAACAGTATATGAAGGTTATTTAGCCCAGTCTTAAATTGCTTGTCTCGTATTGTTCACTTAGGCTTAGTTGTACTTTTTATTTCATAGTTGTACCTAGAAGTTCTAATAATTAGAATTGGAAGTATTTATTGAAGTTTCTAGGAATTAAAAAAAGAAAAGAAAGAAAGCGGGCTTGGCCAGCTCCCTTCTCTTTGTTTTTATTTTTAATCTTTTCTGGCTCCAGTTAACGAAGATAAAGATAATTAATTCAATTCCTCCTTTCTTGGAGTGACTTGAAAATGTGTGGCAATCATTCAAATTTTAAAGTCTCACTGAAGGCAAAACTACACCCATTTAAACACGTGCATTTGCAAATCTTCCACCGGGAATATATTTGTGATCTCGATCAAAAAATTGCACCCTTTTAGGTTTTTATTCCCAAAGTGGTAGTTCCTGAAAACATCACTTTTGGGGGGAACTAGTCACCTAGCAGAAGTTTCAACAGAAAAAGATATGGGTTGCAGATAAGCTGGCTGCATGTTTTGAATTGTAACACTACAGTTCCATTTTGTTTTCAATTTTTGTTCAGGTTTAAAGATGTGATTGATAACTTGGTCAGATTGTCAAGTTAGAGGAGGGGAAGCTAGATTCTCCGTAGCAAAGAGGAGCAATCAGCATGTGTTCTTATGGCTGAAAACCAAAGAAGAAAAGTGCAGCTTTATTTATGGAAATATTTATCTCACCCTACTTTGTGGGGTTTCAGGATTTGGTACTTACTTACTTAGGCAATCCCTTGTAGCCCAAGGATGATGGTCCTCCAAGCCTAGTGTCTTGGTGGTGGGTTTGTAGGTAGCTGTGATCTACCTCTTCTCCCACAGTGAGGGCATTGGTTTTCAGGTGGAAGGCGGTCCTGGTCAGGGTTGGCCTGACACTCCTTCCTCTTGGCATGTTTCTCTTTTTTGCCCTCCATTCGTGCCTCTTCGAATTCTGCAGCACTGCTGGTCACAGCTGATCTCCAGTTAGAGCGCTAAAGGGCCAGGGTTTCTCTGTTCTTCATGTCTATGCCATAGTTTAAAAGTTGGCTTTAAGCCCATCTTTAAATCTCTTTTCCTGTCCACCAATGTTGCGTTTCCCATTCTTGAGTTGGGAGTATAGTAATGGCTTTGGGAAATGGTGATCGGACATTCGGACAATGTGGCCAGTCCAGAAAAGTTGATGGCGCAGAAGCATTGCTTCAATGGTGGTGGTGTCTTTGCTTCTTCCAGCACGCTGACAAATGTCAAATGTCAGGGTTTGGTAAAAACCAGTTTGAATCAATAAAATCAAATTTAAAACAATAGCAATAATCGAAAAAACCCTCTGATTAAACAATTTAGCAAGCAAAACTGCTGAAGAGGTTAAAACCCTTTAAAATGTATTGTACATGCATATTTTATTAAAAGCATGTTAATGTCTGAAAGGTTTTTTTTAAAAGTTATGTTTTGATTGGTGCTGGAAAGGAACCAGTGTCGGTACCAGTCAGATCTCCATTTTTACGGCCTTTTGAAAGTGCTGGTCCCATTGATGAGAATGAAATCAAATCACAATGTTCAAATATGCTTAAGAATATTTAGCGAAAGACAGTAGGAAGCCAAGTTCTGAAACAACAAAAGTATCACAAGTTGCTCTAAGAAGTAATTAGCTATCCTATTTCTATTTTTATCTTTCTTTTTAAACTTGGTGTTAACTGTGTTTTTCATGTTTATGTGCCATCGTTCCTGTTAAGTTCTCAGGCTGAATTGTATGTTAGCCTCAGTATTCGGCATATTCTTTCCTTTTTTGTATTAATCTCAATCCATCCATAAAAAAGTGGATATGTTTACAGAGGATTTTTGTTTCAATATTAAACATGAAGGATGTTGGAGCTTGCATCATGTGTCTTAAATATAACACAAGATGAATCAAGACAACTTTCTTTTGTAGTTGCTCTACTGTTTTACTGTATCTTCAGCTCCAAGAGTAGGAAACAAGTCCTATACCATCTCAGAATTGGGTTATTCAATGTCTCATATTACTGTGTGTATTGGAACATGTTATATAAAGATTCATAAAGTGGCGTGATACAATTTAGGATAGCGGTATTTTAAAATGCCTCATTTTTCTCTGTACTCCTTTTTGATCATTTGTATTATCTAGATTCTGTAAGTTCAAAGTAGTGACCTTTAACTCATGTGGATATACCCACAGGTAACTTGTGAGCTAGAGTGGAGGGGACACATCCCTTATCATTTAGGAATAAAATGCCTCTTTCTGCTTGTTCCACAAAATCTTGTTGTGGAACAACTTTAGAACTGCTATGAACAGTGTGAGTGTGAGATTAAAGTGCTCTTAGCTACACTTGGCTGAAGCCACATATCTTATGTAGTGTTAGGAAATCTAATGTGTGGTGTTTGTTTTATTTCTAGGATCAAGGAGGGCATACAGAGTCAACTCAGCTAGCTGATTGTGCATTATACATCATGGATAGACATTGGCTCAGCTATTTTTTAATGCATGTATAAAAGAAAAAGGTAAGATGATGGTAAATGTCACTAAACATCAATTTCCAGTCTGGAAATTTTGAATTAGGGCGGTGGTTTTTAGCTTTGTTTTGTCTTAACAAAGTTTACATTTTTAGAACATTTCTACACTACACTCCTATGCAGACATTTTCTAAACAGGGCCTTGTTGAGCTCACTGAATGTTACTCTGGGTAAGTATGTTTGATTACAGCTTTAGTGAGCTTAGAACTTTGAAGAAACATTTCTAACTGTTCCAGTTAAAGATTAAATCATACCTGCTATACAGAACAGTCTCATAGGACTGCTATAGCTATAGAAGAGTTGGTTTTCCTTCTTCAGATGAAAAGGTTAACCTGTGTGTTGAAAAGGAATAAGGAACTGAAGTTTGCTTGATACAGCAAGCAAAACATGATGAGATCTCCCACATCATATGTTGTGATCAGTGAAAGTAGTTGTAAGCCAATATAGCAAAATGCATTTTTTTGGTAAATTCTGTTTTTACTTCAGACTCTTCCATTAAGCTTTGCTCACAAGTTTGTAAAAATAGTCTAAATTCTGGTAGCAAATGCAGGTGGAGAACTCCTGTGAAAGTGGACAAACTATGAATATCTCTAGGTGCCCAAAAATCCTCAGGGATGTTTCCAGCGAACATTGCAGCCTCTTGGTAGTGGTGGTTCTGCTCGTTCTGCACAGGATAGAAGTAGGTGGTTGGCATGTTTCCTAGAGGTGTGGCAGCATGAAGAACCACCATTGCCACCACCAAGCGTTTAGTTCTGCAGGACGATCCTGTTCCAGCCATAATCTGTGTATTTTTTTTCTTCCACTGCCTTGACACAGTTCTGCATGTATCTCCCCTTCCGAACCTCTGAGGACTTTAAGATCATCTGGGGAGGCCCTGCTCTTAGTCCTGCCTTTGTCACAAGCACGTTTGGCGGGGACAAGAGACAGGGCCTTCTCAGTGGTGGCCCCTCGGCTATGGAACCCCCCCCCCCCCCGGGAGATCAGATTTGCTCCTCTTGATGTTTCAGAGGCAAGTTAAAACGTGGCTATTCGAGCAAGTGTTTACAAATATAGAGTAGCTAATATAGGAAATCGAATGACCCGACAATGGAATTGGACAATGCTTGAGAATAATGAGACGCTGATGATGTTGTTTTTATTGCTTTTGTGATGTCTTATACTGTTTAATTGTTTTATCTATATTATGTTTTATTTATACTGATTCGTTGGAAACCGCCTTGAGTCACCAGTTGGCTGAGAAAGTCAGTATACAAATACAGTAAATAAATAAATAAAATAATTGCCTATAAAGATTTCCTCTCAAAGATTTCTTTTTTGAGAGTAACTTGCTTACTTGTACTAGGCATTACAAAACTTAATTTTATCAATGGCCAACTCGCAAATAATCAAATATGTGAAAGTTGACCTCCTCCCTCCCCCTTGCAAAGCCAACTTGTTTCAAATAAGATGACATGTGAAGTTCCTCACTTCGGCCTTTGCAGGGACCATACTGAAGTGATTTGATGCATTTTGATAGTTTTGATCTGTAAATAATATTCTACTCCTAGCCAACAATTTGCTGCTACCTGTAAGTCATTTTTATTTTCAGGTATGGTACCTTTTGGAAACAAGCTCAACATTTATGAAGGAGTTAGAATATAAGGGCTTCAGCAATACACACACACAGGCATTTGGTCCATCAAAGGATGCTTAATATAGTTGACATTTTCTTGGCATCTGTTGTGTCATTTTTAGTATAGTTGTGCTAGGTTTCAACTACTTTTCCAGACAGAGAAAAAGCATTACGTATAAATGACTCAGTACATGTAGGATTTCTCTTTAAAAACAGTAAAAGGGGAAGTGAGGAGGAAAACCCAAATCCACTGATGTGATTATTATTTTAGTCATTGTGACAAGAAGCAGGAAGCTTTGTTACATTGTTGACATCTGTACTATATTCATTTTAAGTTTTTTTAAAAAAAATACAAACAATTGTATAGATCTATGTTGTTGTGTGTTAATGTGTTATCCTGTGTATTTTGTGAGGGAACTGTAACCAATGGAAATGTTTAGTTGGCTCTTTGGTGTCATGAGAGGTGTCAGACCTGCTGATAAGGCATCAGTAGTTGTTTCCAATATATAAATTAAACAGCTTCCATTTGAGTAGAAATGTACATTAAAACGATTAGCTATGAGGAATATGTATTGAAAGGAAAAGTAGAAAGAGGACGGCATGTCTGGACAAAGAAGAAATGTTCCTCTTAAACACAGTTATTAGGAACTAATCCCAGCTGAATGCAATGAGATTTCCTTCTGAGTAAAATGCACTGTAAATGTTAACTAATTTCAGCTTTGCAATAACAAGAAGCTGGTGCTGTGAACAAATAATAGTAGACTTACTTAATGCCTGCAATCTGTTTAAATATGCTGAAAAAGCACTTCAGTGTCTTGAATGTCTACTGAAATACTTTTTAAAAGCCGTTTGGCCACTTACTCCTTTTGGATTATGTTTTGTTTTATTTTCTTGCCCTTTGAACTTAGTATCAGTTAGTTTCAGTGTATTCTAGATCATTGCATACCTTGTTTTCTCAAACATGAAATGTTTGTGGGGAACTTGTATGTTAGACTACTTTGTGAGAATGTTTGGGAAAGTTTAAATTGGGTCACTACAAATGTCAGGATTATTTGTAGTTCCACTCATAGCACCTGCATGTGTTAAATGAATGTGTTGTCTAAATCATCCACTACAAACACTGCTGTTGTTGTTCATTCGTTCAGTCGTCTCCGACTCTTCGTGACCTCATGGACCAGCCCACGCCAGAGCTCCCTGTCGGCCGTCACCACCCCCAGCTCCTTCAAGGTCAGTCCAGTCACTTCAAGGATGCCATCCATCCATCTTGCCCTTGGTCGGCCCCTCTTCCTTTTGCCTTCCACTTTCCCCAGCATAATTGTCTTCTCTAGGCTTTCCTGTCGCCTCATGATGTGGCCAAAGTACTTCAACTTTGTCTCTAGTATCTTTCCCTCCAGTGAGCAGTCGGGCTTTATTTCCTGGAGGATGGACTGGTTGGATCTTCTCGCAGTCCAAGGCACTCTCAGCACTTTCCTCCAACACCACAGCTCAAAAGCATCGATCTTCCTTCGCTCAGCCTTCCCTAAGGTCCAGCTCTCACATCCGTAGGTTACTACAGGGAATACCATGGCTTTGACTAGGCGGATCTTTGTTGCCAGTCTGATGTCTCTACTCTTTACTATTTTATCGAGATTGGACATTGCTCTCCTCCCAAGAAGTAAGCGTCTTCTGATTTCCTGGCTACAGTCTGCATCTGCAGTAATCTTTGCACGTAGAAATACAAAGTCTGTCACGGCCTCCACGGTTTCTCCCTCTATTTTCCAGTTGTCAATCATTCTTGTTGCCATAATCTTGGTTTTTTTGATGTTTAGCTGCAACCCAGCTTTTGCACTTTCTTCTTTCACCTTGATTAGAAGGCTCCTCAGCTCCTCCTCGCTTTCGGCCATCAAAGTGGTGTCATCTGCATATCTAAGGTTGTTAATGTTTCTTCCAGCAATTTTCACCCCAGCTTTGGATTCGTCAAGCCCCACACCTCGCATGATGTGTTCTGCATACAAGTTGAAAAAGTTGGGTGAGAGGATGCAGCCTTGCCGTACGCCTTTCCCAATCTTGAACCAGTCTGTTGTTCCATGGTCAGTTCTGACTGTTGCTACTTGGTCCTTGTAGCAAACACTGCTAGCAGTTTTGAATAAATCACACACTGTTTTAATGGTCAGATACTGCTTTATGAACCACCACGAAGACTATGATCTTCTGGGGAGGCCCGGCTCTAGGTCCCATCACCATCACAGACATTCTCAGGGTCTTCTCAGTGATTACCCCCACCCCCCGACTAGCAATATTAGATCCCCCCCTCCCTCCTGTCCTTCAGAAGGATGGTGAAGACCTGGCTGTGGGACCAAGCCTTTAGGGCAGTGCAATGAGGCAATAATAGAATGATGTCCTGAGATGGTTTTTAAGCAACTGATTTTAAAGTGGATATAAGTGATTTTAATGTTTGTGTATATTTATGGTTTTATGTCCTGGCATTGAATGCATGCCGTATATGTGTTGTATTCCACCCTGAGTCGCCTGAGAAGGGCAGAATATAAAGAAAATTTTGCAAGTCTCTTAAAATAAACTTGTTAGCTCAGGAAAATTTCTGTGAGATGATATTGACCAGGCAGCAGGATGTTCCAATCAGATTTGATGCATGGATGATAAGTTTCAGATGGCAATCTTATTAGATATTAGAGAGTATCTGGATTGAGTTGTTGATTAATTTGACTTGATCAGATAAAAGATGTATGTTAAACATACACATTTCAATTGCACTTCAACTATTAAGTTGTACTATGCCAGATATAATATGCTGCTGTGACCTGCCTTGCATTAGTTTTACTACACCCTTGTATTGTTGTTCATGTGCAGTTCTATTCCAAAATATACTAATATATTACTTTTTATATTCAAGCATGGGTATATATGTCTTATTATAACGTTACATTATAGTTTTCCTTTTGATGTCCTGCTTTTCTTTTAAAGAAAAAAGCATAGTGAATAACTGAAGAAATATATTATTATTTTTGATCATAACCAGCCTGAGCTGCAGTTTTGTTCTCACTCCCATGTTCATTACTTGCGGTGTTTTTAAGTGAAATCAAATACGTGTTTTTTCTCACTTTTGAAGTTCTCATTTATGAGTATTTTGGTGTATATAAGGGGCAGATTGAGGTGAAATTTTTTGAGAACAGGCCTAATTGAAAACAATGGTGTGGAAACTGGAGGCCTGTAGATTGCAATAGAAGTGTTTTTATAGCAGTTATACTTGAAGAGAAGTGTACAATTAAGATTATCACTATTACATTGTCTGGCATTATTTCAAATTAGTATATTTCCTAAATTCCTAAAGATAAATCTTCCAAACAAAATGAAAGATTTTAATAGCCTATAGTAAACTGCAAATCAACTAAGAACCTTGATTAATCAATAACTTGTTCTAGTTGCCAATTGATAATAGTGTGCATTATTCCACAGTTATTATCCATTATCATTGCAAATTCACACAGGTTTACACCTTGTTTTGTATCAAATCATTTTCTTGAGTAGAATTTAAAATAATTCATCTTTAATTACTGTGCATTCAGTCTGTTACCCATTATCAAATGTTTTCAGTATTAATTAACTCACATTTATATTTACTGCCTGTTAGATTATTTTATTAGCATTTCAACAAAAATGAATCTATTGAGCAAAGACACCACCACTCTTCACGATTTTTCTCCCTCAGTATTTTCCTGAGATCTTCCTGATTTACATTTTTGCGACATAGTTAAATTTAACTATATTTGTTTAAAGGCTTTCTCATTTTTGAAGCTACCTAGCAGATTGATATTGGTAGAAAATTTAGAATTTGACAATACAGAAATTTTGAGAAAAAGTAGTGTTTTATAGGAAACAACATACAAAAGGCCTACATTTTAAGCTTTGTAACATTCTCTCAATGTTGTGCTGGACTATTGCTGGAAGTTCATAACTGGCTGTCTGCTTGACAGGTTCAGATACGGAGCTGGGTGTCATTCCTGACAAATGGAGAACTATTTCCAGGCAGAGGCTTATAACCTTGATAAGGTTTTAGATGAATTTGAACAAAATGAAGGTGAGTAACTTTTGTTAGGACTGGAAAAGCCAAACTGATCTCTGGATCTGTGAGTGTGGTTCTGTTTGTCTGTATTTTGTCTTCTGTTGTAGGAGCCATCTATTCACGTGTTCTTTTTTCTTTTGAGAAGAAACACATTACAATTGTTTTACTAGATAGAAAATCGTTTTTCTAAATGTCCATGAAATTGTCTCCTTGGGGTAATTGGATCTCAAGTGTTTTAGAATTGCATATAATATTCACAAGGTGAAACTTTCCTACATGTAGCATAGATGGAAATTAAAGATATAAGATCTGTCTCCATCCTTCTTCTGGTATACAGTGGTTCTCAGTCCGTGAGTCCCCAGATGTTTTGGCCTTCAACTCCCAGGAATCCTCGCAGCTGGTAAACTGACTGGGATTTCTGGGAGTTGTAAGCCAAAACACCCGGGGACCCACAGGTTAAGAACCACTGTTCTATTGGAATGCATGTGTCCTAATTCTTCTTCTGCAGTTTGGTCATATTTAGTGTTCTTCCTTCCATTAGCTCTAATTAATAAAAATACCCTTTAAAGCCCTGCACTGACCACTTTAAAATCTATTAACCCTAAGTGGTGGCCAGTTAACTTTGAGTTAGATCCAGATTTAGGCACATGCAATGAAACTGGCAAGTGTGGAGCACACACCCCGCAAGCACACCAAAATGCTGGGGAAGTAAAGATAGTGTTTTCACCTCATTTTCACCTTTCCACCACAGACTGGTCGATTGAAGCAAATTTGCATCCTCCAGTAGTTTTGAATTACCATTTCTATCTCTTTTTGGCTATTGAAAATCCAATCTGGGATTTATGAGAGCTGTCCAAAATATGTGGAGGCCACCAGGTTCGTCTAGCCTATTGTAAAGACTATATCAATTGAATTAAGATTTCTCCTTCTCCCAAACCATTGAGTCCACTCTAGTCTTTAATATAATTTCCAGAATAGAAATAATGATGATAATTACAATGATGATGATGTTTTTGAGGTAGGTTGTGCTGTGTGTGGTTTTATTCCATATCTTTAGAAACTGAGAGATAAGAGGATAGGCAATTAATTAAGCATTTAGGGTATTTTATTATCCTAAATAAAATCACTAAAGTCACTAATAATTTTATTAGACACTTATATGGCAGTAAGACAACAAAATATTTACTGTGTTTTCTGGTGTATAAGATCACTTTTTAATCCAGGAAAATCTTCTCAAAAGTCGGGGGTCGTCTTATATGCCAGGTGTCATCTTATAGGGCAGGCGCTGAAACTTCTGAGCCAGCCTGAAGAATCTTCAGTTGCAGGTTATGGTGCGGGGAGCTCCAAAAAGGCCGTGGCCACATCCCTGCCATATGCAGCAAGTGTACGAAAGCAACAAGGGCAGCGCTGTACAAGTATGGCAGAAGAAAATCCACTCACCAGGATTCATGGAAAGTAGTGACTTAATGTGGTCCCGATGATGAAGTAAGGGGGTGCCTCACCGGGAAAGTGTAAGTGAAGGGCGGAGCAAGCTGCAGGCGTCCAGGACGCCTGGGGTATGGAAAAAAGAGATAGAGCAGTGCTGTGCCAAAAAAATACACCTCTTTCACCTGTTTGCCACCCCCCCCGTATCCTATTACCATACCTCCTTCTCTGCCTCTCAGATCTCCCTCCTGAGGACTGTAGTGAAGCGGTTCAGGTGCGCATATGCCAGAGAAGGAGATACAGTAATAGGAAAATTACGATATTGAAATAAAATCTGATGTTTTTTTTAAAAAATACTTGGTATGTGTGGGAAGAGGAGTAGTCTTATACACAAGTATATCCCAAACTATATTTTAACTGGAAAAGTTGGGGTTGTCTTATATGTCCAGTTGTCTTATACGCTAGAAAATATGGTAATTATTTTAAATTCCCAAATGGCTCCTCTTTTCGGTTGTTTATTCCTATAACTGATCTAGACTTTATTTGTCTTTTAAATATCTGAGTTAAGGTTCTTCATGTTTTATTTCCATCCTTACTAACTGCTTGGTTTGTTTCATAGAAGCTTTTAAGTTGACCTTAAAGACTCAATTGTTCTATGTTATGTTTCCTTAAACGTTTTTCACTATTGTTGTTTTGAAAATGTTGTTCTTTTTAAATGTTTTTTTATTAACTTGTTCAAACGTTTCTGGTTTTGTTTTTGAGCTGCTGTGTTTTGTAACTATTTCAAGAGGATTTCTGCTCTCTTCCCTGTGATTTAGAAATATATATTTTATATTGTATGTAAATTAAGGTGACTAGGCCTTCAATTGGTCTTAAATCTAAATGCTCTTATGTCCCCCATTTATTAAAGTTCTTAATATGATTCAGCTATAGATCTGAATCAGAAGTGAATGACAACGAGCTCAATACTTTTGCTCAGCTAATTTATAAACATTTTCAAGAGAGATGGTAGTTTCACTGATGTAATTTCCAGTTTATCCTTGTAGAGAAAGTTTTCTCCTTTCATCCCATCACATCCCCAGCTGAAGACTTCAGAAAACACTTCCTCTCTTGAAGTTGCACAAGTAAAACAATTGCATAGCTGTGAATGTGTGCGCGCACACACATTTGAGACAAAGAAAGCCTTTTGGTTCACTTTGCCAGAGCTTTAATATTTTGAAAATGTTGTGGTAGTAGTCAGAGCGAGACAAGATGGTCATGTTGAATGGGCTTAAAAACAAAACAGATGTAAGGAGAGGAATAAGAATTCTGACGGCATGCAAGAAGCGTGCTATTTTACTGATATAAACTCCCTGCTATCCCAGCTACTGTTTGCCTGAGGGAAAATGCTGTAATTGGCAATTTATCTCTTTAGGCAAATGGTAGCATTTATAGAAAGGGAATTATCAGGGCTGTGTGAAAAGGTTTTTAAAAGAGAGAGCAAATCACCTCAGGTACTGATAGGGCTGATGGTGCCCGGCATTATAACTTTTGTTGTTGAAGGCTTTCATGGCTGGAATCACTGGGTTGCTGTGAGTTTTCTGAGCTGTATGGCCATATTCCAGAAGCATTTTCTCATAATGTTTCACCCACATCTATGGCAGGCATTCTCAGAGGTTGTGAGGTCTGTTAGAAACTAAGCAAGCGAGGTTTATATATCTGTGGAATGTCCAGGGTGGGAGAAAGAACTCTTGTGTGCTTGAGGCAGGTGTGAACCTGAAAATGAACAAAATCTGGCTACCAGTATTAAAAAATCTCTAAAATCAGGAGAGGAAATAAAGTGAAACACTAAAAAAAAAGACCAGCTAACACCTCCTAACAAAGGATTCTCCCAGCAGGAAACAACCTGTCTTTGAAGCTGCAAGTCTATTCAATGCTAATCCAGGTGGCCAGTTGCAACATTCACAGCTGTCTTCAACAGACAAGGGTTCTTTCTCCCACCCTGGACATTCCACAGATATATAAATCCCATGTGACTAATTTCCAACAGATTTCACAACCTCTGAGGTTCCTGACATAGATGTGGGCGAAATGACAGGAGAGAATGTTTCTGGAACATGGCCATACAACACAGAAAACTCACAACAACCCAATGCCTAACTTGTTTCTTAACCTGAGGCTTTAATATCACTCTATACTGCATCTGAAGAAGTGAGTTTATAGCTCCAGAAGCTCATGGTAAAATAAAAACCTGTTAAAATTAAAGATGCTGCTACATCCCCTTTCCATCTTCCATTTGATGGTGCAAGGAATTATTATGGCTATTTGAAAAATGCCTGATTTAGTAGATACGCAAGATTTACCTATTGACCATTAACGTTTGACCTTCAGGTCAATAGCTTACATAGGAAAAAAACCCAAAATGTTTCATTGCTGAAAGCTTCTTCTCAGGTGTTTAGCCTGCGCATTCTTTTCTTCAGCACTTGGAACAGTCATTGAATGTTGCCTGCCTGCCAAGAATATTCTGTCCCTTTTTGGTGTGCTCTTGAGTTTTTCTCCATTTGGGGATGTCTCTCTGTGTGTATTCTCCATTGATGTCTATGGATAATGCTCACATCCACCTCTGCAGAATATTAAAAGGTCTCTGTGTGAATCAGAAAATAAGATGGTTCTTTTTTTGCTGCAAAGACTTTTTCTTTTTTTAGTTCACTCCTTACTATTCGCCCTCTCTGTTATTTTTCCTCTTAGCCAGTCACCATTCCTTGACCACGTAATCCTCATTTGGCTATTTTGGAGATGCTCCCTTTTTCTAAGTGGTTCCCTCCCCCTACTTGTGGTTACTCCAGGTTTACAGATGTTTCTCTTGTTTCCATGTACCATTATTATACTCATGGAAGGTATGAATCAGAAAAAGAGTGGGGAGGAATATGGAAAGTCTATTTCCATTCTCCTTGAAGTGAACAGATGTCAAGCCTCAGTGTTTCCTTTGTTGAAGATTGTACATTGGGACAAGTCACAACCCTGAGTGGCAGGATGGAAGAATAGTCCCAGTTGGCATTGCAGCTTTGTCTTTCAGCATCCTTTTCCCTACAGATGAGCTGGAATGGTTCTTTGATTAAGGGATGACTAGCAGCTGCAGTGTGATATAGCAGTTTGGATTTGAACTAGGACTCTGGACACCAGGGTTTGAATACTCACGGAAATTCACTAGGTGACCTTAAAGACATTACCTACCACCTCAGAAAGGAAAAAAGGCAACCCTCTCAAAAACCCCAAAACAAAAACAAGTCATGCCAAGAAGGCCACATGGTAGATTAGCCTTAAGGTCACCATAATTCAGAAATTACTTGAGGGCCCATAGCAACAACAAACAAAATCAGTTAGATAAATGTATTAATATTAAACTAATATTCATAGTTATTAATGAATTTATCCTTTAATATTTCAAACTAAACTTCAAACCTATGACATTACATATATCATATTGATATTCTGTATAGTTTCATATGAGTGTTACCTAGTGGCAATATGGGGAAGGAGGTAGGAGTACAAAATGATGTTTTGCCACGAATTACTACACCCCTTCTCCTTGAACCCTGTTAGATCTTGGC